CTAAGTCTCCTTTTCTCAAGGCTGAACAAACCCAGCTCTCTCAGCCTATCCTCATACGGCAGGCTTCCCCGACCCTTGATCATCTTGGTGGCCCTTCTCTGGACCCCCTGCAGCCTGTCCACATCTTTTTTATATAACAGGGACCAGAACTAAAAGGAAGAGACTTGCAGGGGGAGGGCTGAATAACCCATAACTAACTTGTGGAATTTATCTCCATGGGAGGTTGAGGAGGTCAAAACCAAAAATATAGTAAAAAAAGAAATAGACAAATTCATAGATAACAAGGCTTTTGGTTATGGTACACGTAGAACTTCTAGCTCAGGAAGTGCCTAAATCATTGATTGCTAGACATGACACTGAAAGTGAGAGAGATATTCCAGAGGAAAGGACACTGTCTACTTCTTTTACTTCTTATGTTGCCTTCCAAAATACCTGTTTTTGACAACCATTGGAGACAAATTATAGGGTTAGATGGACGTCTTGCCTGATCCAGTCTAATAATTCTTGTATTTTATGCTCTTAAATGTGAAGTGACAATGAATATTAACAGATTTTTTTTGTTTGTTTGAATTTTAACAGTTACATGAGGAATTCAGTGCTGAAGGAAATTTTCTGATTTTAACAGAAATGGCTACCAGTCATGTGCAGGTTCTTGTGGAATTCACTAAAAAACTACCAGGTATATCCAGTGTGTTGTGGAAAATTTTGTTAGTGCAAAACTTACATGCCTTTCAGTTGCCATTTGGTAATTGTTGTGTATATTTTGAAGACTACATAAAAATGCCTCCTCCTCTGACACATATACGTTCTTCAGACTCTGTCTAAAGAAAGTTTTGTGCTCTGAGGAATAATACATTGAATAATTCAAACTCTGCCACTCTGAGATGTGTCACGCTTTACCTATTGACAAACAAAATGCTCAGAGAAGGGGTTGTGTCTCTAGAGAGATTTTATTTTCCTGTATCATTGCAATGCCAAATAGTCTGCCTCTAAATTACCTCTAAGATTTGCCAGACTCTGCTTCACTGGCTTTGCTGCCTTTCTAGCAAAGCCTCTAGGTCATGGCACCCACTGAATTGTGAGTCCTAAACAAGAACTTTCGCTAGTTGGTGGCACCAATCTTTGTGGTCCTTGCAGCATATGTTATGGACAAGCACTGAAAACCTGAGTTTATCATTGGTATTTTTTTACCTCCCAAGTTGATGTTATTTCAAGAGTGAACACTGGGCATGGTACAGGTTCCTTGTAAGACAAGTAATGCTTAGCTGTATGAAAACATTATTTTCCTGGTATTCCCATGATACTGACCCTTTCTCTGTGTGTTATGGGCTTGCTTCAAAGCCTAGCACTGCAGTTGTAACTATATTTTTTTATGCTAACTGGAATACTGGCTTGCAAGAAATGAACAGAGCACTAATTAAGCAAAGGGGTACAGCAATGTCAGCAGAAAGATGCTAATACTGCTCCTTAATGGACCGAAAGAAAAAATTTGCTACGTGCCACTCTGGCTGAACGCAACAACTGCTCAAGCACAGGGTTATGTGTGCACATCCACACCTAACAGGAAGTGAAGCTATGAGCTGGAAACTTGATGGTTGTTTCATAAGAGGGAAAAAATCCCCTACCAGACTTATGCAATCCAAGTGGTCTTATGCTGAGGAAAAGGCAAAGGGGTCTTAAAGTCAGAAGTACAGAAAAAGATACAGGTTCTGCTGTTCAGTTAGTTGAGAAAGACGAAGGGAGGAGCTTTGTAATTGAATAATCTCATATTTTCAGTGTTGACTTAGAGTACATCTGGCACAATCTATCACCTTTTTGTTTCATTCTCTACATTATCTTTTTCTGTGCTTCCCTACAGAATCATGGGGTGGGTATGAGGCAGGTTCCTGCATTGGCAAGTATGAGGAGAGTTTGCCATGATCTTCAGCTCCCCGTTCTTCTTCAGAGGAGCACCTCTGTATTCACACAAGTTACCAAATTCTTTCTGATTTCTTCAGTGGGTTTTAGAGTCCTTCCCTTCCAAAAAGAGAAACACATATTTAAAACACAGCGAGAAAGCCTCTATGTAAAGCCACATCTTAGTCCAAATGCAAGGTGAAATACTTAAAATTAGATGCTTCAAATGCTGATTTTTGCCATCAGAGCACGGAAAGAGCTGAAAGCAGCATGGCAGAGGGAGAGTCACAGAGAGCTCTGGTGGAAAAATGGCAGATGATGTTAGGCAGTGCCATCAGGCTAGACAAAATCTCCACTATTGGTTGTGCTACGCCACTAAATTTTGCTTATCATGTTCCTCTTGAAGTACCATGGACACTGAAACACAAGTCTAATTCTCAGGCTTCAATGAGAATCAAATCTGTGTAATTTTCTGGAATCTATGTTTCAATTGCTGCAGCACTTGGCAACCCTGCTGACATCAACATCAAGGTTATGCAGATGTGTAGCACCTCATGTGCAAGAATTTCAAGACAGAAAGTAGCAGGGACTTTTCTGTTGCTGCCTTACTTAGCTCTGACATCTCCCCAGGCTTCCAAACCCTTGATCATGAAGATCAGATTGCTTTGCTGAAAGGCTCAGCAGTAGAAGCCATGTTCCTCCGTTCAGCTGAGATCTTCAGTAGGAAACTTCCTACAGGACATACTGTCCTTTTAGAAGAAAGAATTCGCAACAGTGGTAAGTATCTTGTCTAATGAGGAAAAAAACAACCACCACCATTGCACTTCTGTGTCAGTATTTTGCCCTTGAAAAGCTAGTAAAATTGTTTATTAGCTATTAAAGCTAGTAAAATTGTTCTTTATATTAACTAGAACAAATCTTAACTCAGCCTTGAGTCTAAAGGTCATAAGGTAAAGGTTTATTTATAGATACATTCCAAGTATTATGAATGACACTGTAGCAAACAAACCTGGTGCAAGTCTCAAATTATAAGAATCAAAGAACAACAAAGTACTACCATTTCAAATAATTCATATAAAATATCAATATTTATGCTTTCAAATGCAATCACTATAAGAAAGAAAAAATGTTAGGATGTTACTGGAGATGACTTAAATCACACTGCACAAGGTGCATAGAATAATTATAAACATGGCATGTTCTCAGTATGTTTTCTGCTTCTTGAAGTCCATCAAAGGTTCAGTGGCTATGACAAATTCTATCGGTTCTAGACATAAATCTTAATAATTATGAAAAGCCAAACAGGGCTGGATATTGTTTGTTCCTTAAAGCACAAAAAGTTGTGTTTTGCATTGTTATGTATTCTTTGTACTCCGCTGATGCAATACTGAATGTTTTGCCCTTTTCTGTATTGACCAGCAAACTTTATCTACCCCTCAGCTACCTATTGTTCAAAATCCAAATGTAATAAAAATTCTGAATCAAAGAGTCTGTCTACAGTCAGAGAGAGTGCTTTGGCTCAGGCTTCCAGCCTTCCTTTTTAATGGTCAGAAGGAGAAGAGATTGGATAACATTTAACCTCAATACTAGTCATAGAAATGGGCTTGAACGCAGTTCTGAAACTCTTAAAATCAGTAATGTGAAGGTACTACTGATGTAAGCAAAATTAGGTGAATACTTACATATCTGAAACCCTGAAAAGAAGTTAGGAAACATGAGAATAGCTCACTGGCTGAAGATATGTATTTAATTTGGTTTAGCACACTCAGTTCTAGGTTTATATTTCATAGTTTTTAATATTCCTTTCGTTTTGATTTATTATAAGAGGCTATTGTTTGATGGACTGGAAATTGTGACTTTGAGTGTGATATGGATGGCTTCTGGTCCAGGTTCTGCAGGCAGAGAAGTATGCCAAGAAAGCCAGAGATATTTCCTGGAAACTGTAATGAGTTGTCATGGATCCAAATGTATTCATTAAGAGACTTTTCTACTAGAATATAACCTAATTTTTTTTATTAAAATAGGTCTTGGAGAAATGAATCCATATGAACACATGATTACTGAAAGCTTCTGCTCCTCTAATCTATACAGTCAATATCAACCTTCTTGTTCAAGGTGTTAACTGTTCATAAAAAGCAGAAGCAGGAAATACTTTGATACTTTGAGCATTACATAAGCTATTATGTCATAGCAATAATTTTTTCCTTACTCATAATTTTAAAATACCCTGTTAATTATCTGCAACTATTGAGTCCAGATGAAATGCAATACCATTTTTTGCAAGCTAGTACTAGACTTAAAGATAGCATTTCATACCATAATGTGACTAGCTGGAATATGACATTGTATCCTGCAGTAATATTATTTACCTGTCATTAAATAAATTTAAAAAATAACATTTTGTGTAGAGGAAAGTTTGAAGACAAGTAATGACTTCAAATGTGGTATTATTTATTCCAAAGGAAGATTTCCTGCAATTCTTTTTTTCTGGGAGAAGAAAAAGACCAAGGTAAATTAAAAATGAGTTCTGGATCAGAACAAAACCTAGGCTGAATAGTTTGCAAGAAATGAAACATGATAACTTTTTTAGTGTGTCTGTGTATATATATATATACACACACACACACACATATATATATCTTACTGCTCTTAGAAAAGGCTCTCAAAAATATTTTCCCTTAAGCCAGGATCAAGTTGGGGACATAAGAGGAAATACTGCTGCTAGAATTGCTCCCTCCCTGTATTACAGGAGAATAATGTATTATCCAGCTTACGTGCTGCTGGCTGCATTCTTTCCTTCCATTAATAGCCAGAATACAGGACAAAATACCCCTTTCTATGTATTTTATTTCTCCACTCTGTGCAAACTCAAGCCTACTTAAACACATTTTCCTTGGCTGCACTTAATGGGGCTGTGACAGCAAACAACAAAAGCAGCTTGTAAATCTTTGCATTTGTAGCAGTGTTAACTTAATTGCTGCTACCAATGCTATTTAACTGTTAGTGCTACTGCATAGACCCAGAAGTCACTCAAAATTTCCAGAGTCTCTCATTTTGGACTGACATTTCTGCATGCTAGAGGTTATCTGTCCATGTCCCCTGCATGAAAAGGCTTAAATGTGTTTTTTAAATGCCCCTCTGCCTATGTTTTCAGTACCGGTAACTGCCTGTCAGTTAGTGGTATCACTTCATTTGCACCAAAAATGCAAGCAGATTGGTTTATAAGAGGAAGGATTTTTACTAGGTAGGTTTGACTCTCTCATGCCTCGCAGGTGTATTTCTCAGTGTTCACTGAATTTTCATAGGAATCCTGTTTGTCATCACACAAGCTACCAGAGTTTTTTGTTTTGACTTTAAGAGCTCGCATTGGCACAATTTTTCGGCACATTTTGTCTTAGTTTATGGCAAATTCCAGAATTACACATTTAGGCAAATTGAATAATTGTTGGAAATACCTACTACTGAAACATCTTATTTTTGTGGTTTAAATCACGGTCATTTTCAGGTGTCACGAGTTTAAACAAAATGAAAGAAAGGCATCCCAATTCTTCTGTTATCATTGCTTACACATACAGCTTTCAAAAATATTAACTATGCAGTTCACACCCCTGCACGTCATAGGACTCAGCACCAGGGCTCTAGGTTGAATAATAGCCTGTACTAAATGTGATATTAGGATAGAAACTTAAGCAGCGTCTTCCAGCCTTAACCAGTAAGGACACATGCTACGAAAAACTGCAGCTGGCCATTATCATGTTATAGCCTTGTCCAAGAGATAAAACCCAAATCAAATAAAGAAGAAAACCCATGAAAATTACATATAAATTTGGAGATAGCGAGTTTTTTTTTGCATACACCTCACTGAAAAACAAGACTAAATGCAGCAAACTGAAACACCCTGCAAAGACAATAGAGAGCAGCAGAGGAAACGCAGTGATAGCTGAGTTGAGAGTTTAAAAATTAAATTTGTAGTTAATGAATGATGAAGCAGCATCAGGATTATTCATGGCTCCTAGTGAGGTTCCAAACACTCTCAGGGCATCAACCATAAATTATTGCTGTTAGTCAGAACTTCTGTCCACATATTTTTAGGTGCAGACAATTGTCTGAATGTCACAGAAGTCCTATTGTCAAGCCTTGATGCCTGTATCCATAAAATCGGGGGTGGGGATCCTGCCTAAAAGTCACAAGCTGTCCAGACTTCTGTCACCTGCCAGCATGTCAACTTGGAAGCTACTCTCATCTATTAATATTTATGCCTTCCCCAGTCTGTTTGTATGGAAAGGATTTTTTTTTTTTTCTGATAAAAAAGCCAGAGATCTGGTGGTGATGACCTTTCAGCATTAGCAGCCTTCATTTTTATTCTGATGTTGATGAGGTGTATTTTTATTTCTTAGCTTGAGCATATTGCTTAAGTCCTGGTGCATCTCAGTGACTGCTTTTGTTTGTGCCCTTATGGTCTTTCTCCATAAGGTGTTATGGGAATTCTTTCATTAGCTGCTCCTGAGACAGAAATCCTCTCCTACTCACTCTAATATTGAGACTTAATGAGAAATACAGACATTTTATTTAATGTTAATGAGAGCTTGTGCCACTTACTCATTTTATTTGATGCTTCACTATGCATACACAAAGTTGTGACTGATTCATTCTGTGAAAGGCTGACATCCTAGTAATCTAAAGCTTAATTTCTTTCTGTTATTTTGAAAGCAAACTCTCCCCATTATCTAGCTGTACAATATTTTTAAAAACAGTGTTGAAATACTGAATGTTTTCTCAGTGAGCATTTATAGCTTGTTTTTCTAAGGACACCTGCTTTCAGCGGTCATGAAGAGCTGCGGATTTTTATTTCATCATTTTATTCTACAGAGATGTTCTACTAATTTCAGTATCATCAGGGAATAAGATACTATCCGATACAGACAGAAATGGAAAAATCTGGATCCAAATTTTCAGTTGGCAGCAGGACACCCGACATTGTGAAATATCCTGTTGTCTTCCTAGATAGGTTACAGGTGCTGAAGTACATTGAGATCCAAGGAAAAAAAAGAAATAGCCACAATTTCAAAGCCCTGGCAAAAGGCCACGTTTTGCCCTTGAATGTAGGATACAAAGTTCCATTGATTTGGAGAAGAGACTCTAGTAACCAAGGGCAAAATTTGGCATTGGAACAATGGATACCTAATAACTTTTGCTGCCTTTGGCTTTTATTATTTGATTATTAGTACTGAGTAACGGTGGTGCTTCAAAACCCCATTGTGCTGGAGTTTGTGCAGAGAAACAAAACAAAATTATCTTCACTGCTGAGTCCAAATAATCTAATCTAAGAGAGAGCAACCTGGCCAGTATCTAGTCCCTTGTTTCTAAACATACCTGCAAATCTGCAAAACACATACCTGTGTCTACCCCTCCAAATGGCCATATGCACCCACACGGAAGGAGACACCATCCTGTGACTCAACTCAATACTGGCACACTGCCCAAAATATTTAGAAATTAGGACCGCTTTAAATTACAGAGTGTAGGAAAGAGCTTTTCTGTTTGTATGTGGTACTGCACAAACTACCTCACTGAGTTAGCCAGTGCCATGTTCTTGAATGACAAATAAAATTGATAAAAGTGTTTATATCATATCTACAGAGTTAATTTATACCCATGAAACAAGAACAGATGTCAGAGGACCCAATCTTTTTTCTTCTGCGTAAGTCTGCTTCTCCAGGCCAAAAACTTATTTAAATAGACTCAATGTATGAAGACTAGCTCAAGGCAGTGCAGATGCTGCTGCTGTGTGCCAGACCACATTTCCCTCCTGACTGCAGGCACTCAGGCCACTGCCAAAGGATGGTATGTGGCAATGTCATTTGCGTCCTCCTTGCAGGTTTGGTTGGTTTGATGGTTTGGGATTTTTTTTTGGTTTGGTGTTTTTTGTTTTTGTTTTTTAACTAAGGTTTCTTTGCTTGTAATGGTGGCTTCACAGTAGTCCTATTGATTGCTTTTGAGAAGATGTTTTTTTGCTATCCTGCTTGTGAGTTCTCTTTGGCACATGCTAACCTCTCATTTAAGTCGGCCATTTAACCTCTACAAGATGATGATAGAGGTCACATGAACATGCTCTGGTGTATCTTCTCTACTGGCTACATTTTCCCCTTTTCGGCTCTCAGCACCAACATGGTGAATTTGGTCAGTGGTTAAAGGGCCACTGATGCATTTGAACAGGTTAGAAGGCAGAGCTCATAAGCAGCATGGAAAGCAGTTCCAGTAGATGAAACACTGTGAAAGATAAGATGAAATTTTGTGAGTAATTAATATATTTTATTTTCATAAAACAGCTACTAATATACCCTAGGTTTAATATCCACTGACACCCCCATGTTTACCAAGAAAAAAAGATCTCTTTATTCATATTAATCACATAATGCTAGTTACTGCTTATTAGTACTTACTCTCAAGCTTTCCTCTTGCAATAGATTAATCTATTCAGTTTTAATCAACAGCCAAAATAGAAAAGAGAATACTGGTCTCAAAAAGCTGGCAATACTGACTCGATATCACAGTAAAAACACCTATTCCAGGATCATGTTAACCAGATAATTATTTATGGCCTGAAACTGCAAACCTTATGAAAGCAACAGTTACCTTCAGAGAGAAATCATAGGAACAAAACCCTAAAAAAGGCAAGGTCTAAAACAATGCTGTGTCTTAAGCTACAGATAGGAATGAAATTGTGCAAAAAGTAAGGGGTGCTGAATGAATAACACTCATGGGTTTAAATCTGCTCCAGTCTAATGCCACAAAGCCATGCTCAGTAAAGCCAGTATTTCCTGTTCACTACCCTGGGGTTTACAGCCAGTCATCCAGTAACATAGCGAAATCAGTCAAATGAATTGCGGTATCTTCCGCAGATGATAGAGTTGGGCTGGTGGTCAGGAAGAAATCTGTGCAGTTCAGAACGACGCACAATGAAACACAAAGGAGAGGCATGTTCTTATTGCCGTAATGCTGCATGAAACAAAGTTTTTGAAACCTTTTTGAAAAAAAGTTAAGAAGGAGGCACCATTAACACTGCCCAGGAAGCTCTGCCTATCTGACACAGTACTATGCAGCGCTCTTGTCTGATCTAAATAAAGAGGGCTAGAGGGAGCTAACTTTTCAGTTCTCACTGAGGCCAGAAGTACATTGTAACTTTATCTATTGGATTTTTTTCACTTTGGAGTATGATTTGTAACAATGACATTTGAAAAGTCATATAATTCATTTCTCCTCTAGCCTTTCCAGTTACGAGCACCTAATCGCCTTTAATTCTTTTTCTGATAACCTGAATTGAAGTGACAATATCTTGTACAGTAGATAAGAAAAAAAAAAAAGCAAGAACTATAAACATCTGTTTCCTGCTTTTTTGCTTTCTGATGGAGTTTATTAAATCCAAACTGAAGCATTTCAATCCCATTAGAAAACAGCCCCCTCTTGTGATGGAACAGCGGTTTGTGTAACGTGCATACAGGATGATGAAATAACTGGGAAAACCAGCACAGATGGGATGAGGGCAAAACGAGTAACCAAGAAAAAATTCCATTATCCTAGTCTCAAAATTTCTCATTTTGCATGGTTTCATTCATAATTCTCTTGTGACATATATCTACTTAAAGATTTCAAAGTTCTGTTCTCTTTAGTAAAAGCAGCAAATCATTGCTGAAACAGCCCTTTTTGCTACCTTTCACCTCTTCTGGTTTTTTTTATTTCTCTGTTTGGAGTACAGTAGTGCAGAGAAGCTCTCTGTCGTAATTTCATTTGCTTCCACATCTATACTCAGTTTTTACTTCACCCATCCATGCTTTAGTTTCTTAATGTTAGATTATAAGCATCCTGGGGCAAGGATTGTTTTACTGCATGCTTATACAGTGCCTGGACCAGTGAGGACCTGAATTAGTTATTCCACACCCTGTTGACCAGCATCATTCTTATCCCACTTCTGCTATATTGACGGTAGGACTCAAGGAGCCTTGTGGTCAGCAAAACAGTGAATTCATCCAGCTGAAAACTAACGTGACCGTAAAAAAAAAGGAGAAAAAAAAACAAATTATGAATATGAGAACCAAATGATGGGAGTCTTAGTCACAGCCTACTTCCTCCCATTTCCTGTCTGCTGCCAAGATGATGGTGCCCAGCGGCGCGATACCTTGCACAGAGACTTCTAAAAATATCCAGTTTGTCTTGGACTTTTTTCATGTCATTGCTGAACTACTCACTTCCACGAAAGGAATTTGCTTGCTCTGCTTTGGGGCTCAGCTAGACTTATTTTTTTTTCCTGTTTCTAGATTCACGCGAACTTTAAGACTTTGGTGTGTCATATGGATGTGTTCCTTACATATGTCATAGTGTAAGGAACTTTGACATTTAAAATTGCCCAAGAGAGAGACAGGTGGTTCCCCAAAAGTTAGCAATAACAAGTGTTCAAAATTTTAAATAGTTAATGCTGATGACTAATGACATAAACCTCGCAGAATATTAGATGCTATGACTATTGTTTGCTCTATATAAAGTTCCAGCTGTGTTACTAACTTCCACAGGATGAGCTGACTCGCATCATATATATTTGCTTAATTGACTTAGACTCTTCTCAATAGTGTTGAACTTGTTACAGAAACAAGATTTGTGGCTTGTAATCTGAAGTGACCACAAGTTGCTCATGTCACACGTCACGTCACATGAGACACATCATCCAGCCACAAAATAAACCACACCCTGCAAGACCATACTTTCACTCTGTTGGGACTCATAACTATTCCACTGAAAAAGTTCTCACTGTCACAGCAAAATGTGACTTGTCCATAGTTAAGTCAAGTGACTCCATGTTTCCTTCCTTTGAGTTCCACCTGCTGAGTTTCATTTTGAATTTCCCCTGTTGGAGGCATTCCAAACCTTACCAGCCCTCGACTTGAGCTTCATGTTGTATAGTCACTCAAAATCACATTATTTCATGCGGTTTCCACACTGAGTTATAAAGTCTTCTCCCAGAACAGCTCAAAATTAAGAGTAAAATGGCAAGAAATTCTATGGCCCTCATCTGTGGGAACAGAGAAAGTTTCCATCCTTTCAGCCAAGGAAGACCAAAAGGCTTCTTGCTGCAGAACCACTGGTTCAGCTCTCTACACCTCATCGGTGCCACTGCTTCAGAGTTGCAAGCAACCGTTGTCAACAGTCTAGTGGCTGCTTTAAGTGACTCACACACCAGTTTAAAAAAAAAAAAAAAAATTTGATGTCACAGGACCTACTTCTCTTTTACCCCAAATAGCAGAATGAAGTACATCTGTAACTTACGGCTAACAACATTGTGACCTGATGACAAAGTCAGTAAGAGGAAGCCCAGTCGGCATGCCCCAGTTCGGTAACGCCAAAGGGTTTTGCTGATGGCAAGAGAATCGCATGATCCCATCCTTAAACTGGGCTGGATTTTAATCATTTACGGCTCTCTACTTTATAATACACTAGTTTATGCTTTAAGGTAGTAGTAGTTGCAAGCAAGTTGATCTTGGACTACAGGTAATCCTAGACCTAGCTAAAGTTTTAGGCTACTTAAAAGGAGCAATTAAGACTCTTTGTGGAGACAACTGAAGCAGCTGCCCAAGGCAGTTAGCTGTAGAGTAGAGTTGGGCTAGAATTAAACCATACACCCTGAGAGGTTTCCGTATAACTAATGTAAAGATATGGAACATGGGGACTGTTTTGCAAACTCTGCATACTGGAAACAGAAGACAGTTGTTAGAATATCAGCAGACAGCGAGAAAAACATGTATGATGTGACTTGTCCTGAAGAGCTAGATGGACAAACCTGCAGAGAAAAAGGAATTGCTTGAAAGAAAGACTTTGACACCATGTGAAAAGAAATTGCCCGTGCTTGCCTGTTTCTAGTCTGATCGGGAAAACAAAAATGTGCTTGCACTTTTGTAACTATTCTCTTGCATCAGGCCTGATTTGTGTAGTAAATTTCTCCCACCAAGACAGTCAAGGCTTTAGTATTTCTAAATAATTGTTCTGTGGCAATAAACCAGATTATTTCAATAATTAAAAAATATTATAACTTCTTTTTCTCTCACAGGTATCTCAGATGAATTCATAACTCCCATGTTTAATTTTTATAAAAGCATTGGAGAGCTCAAGATGACACAGGAAGAATATGCGCTGCTCACAGCCATAGTTATCCTGTCTCCAGGTAACTTCTAATCCAGAATTAAATATTAGTAGTTTTGGAAAGAAAGCATGAGGATTGTGACCTGAAACTTGTAAAAACTTACATTCTACATAGAGTAAGTGAGCATATATGCTTATCCAGTATATTCAGCTGTTAAACCAAAAAATAAGCACACAAATACAAACTCCAAATGTCCTGCTACACCTTCTGGTTTTGCATACAAGGAAAAAAAGTGCCTAAATAGCCTGCTTAAAAATTACTGGTGTCTCTTCACTGCTTAGCAGGACAGGCTTCTTCCTTCAGAAAACCCCAGTTGTGGTTACATGCACATCACTTTTTTAGAGGGAAATTGGGAAACCCTATAACTTAGAATACAGAATGGCAGTGAAGGTCTTCAGCCTTTGTTGAACAAACACGAGCTGGCAAGAGCAGAAGGACAGTAGCAAGTTGCCCTCTCGACTATAAAGTGGTGGAAACGGACCTTTCAGAAGTATCAGCATAATAGTGTCTCAGCCCTGATTACAGGCTTTGCTGTAAAACCTAATTCTTTGGCAACACAAAAATAACCAGCTCTGCCTACAACATACGAACAAATTGTATAGTGCCTCAAACAGACTATCATAGCACTGGGAGAAGAGAAGCCTGACACTTCAGGACAAAAGACAGACACTGAGGTACCCAAATTGGGTTTCATGGAAGATGGGAAGGTGAAGCAATTCCATGGCTCTTTGAGTCACTGTGGCTCAGGAAATTTTTTTACACCAAAAATTCCAGTGACAAAAAACCCCATCCTCCTCTTTTCCTTCTTCTCCAAATACCCAAACACATACTTCCATATGAACAAAATAAAAAAGACAAGTATTTTCTAAGAAAGAAATTTCATCTGAGGATGAAGATGCTTGATTCCTCCCTGGTGACCTGTATGCACACTCTTCGCTACTGGTCAAATTCCCTGGTTGTACTACATGTCCAAGAACTTATGCTGTGCTGCTCAGCTGTTGCAATGCATCGCAGGATGTACTCAGGTGCAGAACGGCATTGGGAGATGATGGTACAACCCCAGAGAAACATTTCTGAGTTAAAACTCTTCAGTTTTTGAAAAGGTTTAAAGTTTTCCCTGGCTAGAAGTGGGAAGCTTAAGTGAAAACCCCGAACCAAAAATACCATGTTAAAGCACTTCTATTCCCTCTCAATTTGAAAAGAAATATTCTTGGTAGGTGTGAACATCAGTGCCCAGTGTAAATATTTGAATATTTTGATATTCATTTATCGGTGTAAATATTTGCATTGTATCAGACCATATATTTGCTAATTACTTCTTTTCTTTTAAAACCATAACCAGATCGACAATACATAAAGGACAGAGAGTCTGTGGAAAGGCTTCAAGAACCCCTGCTGGATATTCTACAAAAAGTCTGCAAACTTCACCACCCAGATAACCCTCAACACTTTGCGTGTCTTCTGGGCCGTCTTACAGAATTACGGACATTTAACCATCATCACGCAGAGATGCTGATGTCATGGAGAGTGAATGATCACAAATTCACACCTCTTCTCTGTGAGATCTGGGATGTGCAGTGATGGATACTTTTTATTTTGTTTTAGGAAAAATATCTTTTTAAAGGACCATATAGCATTTATTTTCATAGAAAAATATCCCACAGTACATTAAATTTTCTTTACTGCATTTTTATAGAAACATGCCATGGATTCATGAAAGCCATTTTGTTCACTACACACCGAATATTGTGTAACTATCAGATTTTCACACGTGAGTATAATTCTCTCTGTATTTACATTGTCTGATCAGAAAAGAGTCTACCAGCTCCTCAGAGGAACCCTGTTAATTCCTCCTGCAATTAAGCTGATCGCAGTTACAGTTCCTCTTGACAAATGGGGAAATGCAGGTTTCCATTCATATTTTTTCATTGCAGTGTTTTTGTGCTTGGCCTCCATTAAAGAATATATTCCAGATATTTATGCTAATAAACCAGCTGAAATGGTTAATGCTATAGTCATTTGCTGTTCAGTTGTGAAACGTGTTCACATAAGATGCACAAGCTCTTATTTCTTCAGAAGACGAAAAATTATGTAATGGAGAAAAGCCATACACACACAAAAAACCCTTCTCATGATATAAACATGTAACTTCATTTGCATTATTATTTCAAAGTAAAAATTATACAGTATCGAGACTTCGTGAAAGTGCATGACAGGTTGTTTTACTTTACAACTCTCGATTGCTGGTGCTTAGCGACTCTGAAAAATACCATCAGCAACATCCCCAAAACCTGAAACAGGTAAGCGTGGCTGAACGCTGTGCGAGGCGGTGCGGGTTCCCCGACGCTAACAGGGGCTGTAGGCAGGGTGGGTGGTTTCCTTATGCCTGGATTTGCTCCGAGGAGCGTGAAACCGGACAGCAGGGACCCCGATGTGCCGACCATGCTGTCCTCCAAACTGCTGGCAGCGTGAGGAAGACGCGGGGTGCAGACACAGCCCTCGGCCCTGCTGCAGAAAGGCCTCTTCGGGTGCAAGGCGGGCAGCCGCTTCCGCTGGCCGCCGCGCAGCTGGCACCCTGCTCCCCCCGCCCGTGGCCAAAGCAGCCACCGCTGCCCCAGGGAAGCAGAACTGCTTTCAGACGCAGCTGGTGACAGGAGGAGGGGACGCTGAAGGCCGTGCTTTCGTGACGGCCGAAGCGGCCCGGGGGCGGGGGGGCCATCTGCCGCCGCGCCCGGGCCCCCAGCCCCCCGC